ATAGCAGTAAAGGGTGTGGATTGGGTTCACAGCACTGGAGCATGAAGTTTTTGTTTTGCTCACCGGACAAAACATCAAGGTCTCTCCCATGTTGCCTCTATTTGTCAAATGCAAGCATACTTTATGAGCAGTGAGGCATGTCCTCCCCCTGGATGTGAGAGTAAGCCTTACTGAATGCAGTGAGACTTACTTCTGTGTAAACAGACACGGGATCAGAATGACAGCATCAGCTTCAAGTAGATTCTCAGTATCAGCTGCAGCAGATTGGAAATGAAGGATATACCTCTGTGACTGTACTCAGATTAGTTCATCATGCATACAGAAGTACCATTCTGCTCCCCACAGTTCCTGTCAAACCAAGCTTTTGTTTGTTCATAAGCATGTTTTCTTGAAAGATGTAGTCATTCTTTGTGCCATAAACCGCATTTGTGGTTACACAAGCTTTTTGCCAGTGACAGCTGGTTCTGTTGTGCGCTGCTGTAATACATTTTCAGTTGGATGCAAAGAGTAATGAGAAGAGAAGCCCCTAAGAAAACAAATGTGCTTTGACTGATAACAGTGATGTATTTACAGAAGGTGTGATGAATTTTGTAGCCTACCTGCTTCCCTACTCAGAGGGCTTAATACAGAACACAAGAGAACAAAGCTTTAAAACTGTGTTTGCCCTTCATAGGTTATAATATGATACTCTTCTCTGGGGGGGGGGGGGTGCCTTTAAATAGTATTCCTCAACCCAGTGCACTGCAAATGTGTTGCATTGCAACTCTCATCATCCCAGTATCTAGGGTGGGAGGAGTTGTAGCCTAACCATCCACAGGGCTCTGGGTTGGGGAAAGCTGCTTGACTGCTTTGCTACTGCAGGAGAACAGGCAGCCAGTTTCTACTGTTCCAGCTTTTCCTTCACCAGCCCTTTTGCTCACTTCCCAGCAGCTACAGTCAGGATAACTGGAATTCGGAACTACTGCAGTCAGGCGAGCCCTGCTTCCAACCCTGATGCAGAGCCCCTTTCCCCAGCCTAGTGTTCTTCAGAAACTTTATAGTCCAGCTCCTGTTAGCCCCAGTCAGAGGCCAGGAATGCTGGAAGTTGTTGTCACCCAAAACATCAGGAGGGCACCAGGCTGGGGAAGGCTGATGCGGAGACAAAGACATGACTGCTCTGTTCCTTAAGTGTTAGCAAGAGGGAACGAATGGAAGAGTGCCTGGAACAAGAGTGGGCGGAAAGTAGATCTCCAGATGTTTTGGACTTCAACTCTCAGAAGCTCCTGCTAAGTATGGCCAATGGTCAGGAATGCTGGGAGTTAAACATCTGGAGATCTACTTTTCATCCATCCCTGAACTGACCATGAAGACACATGTCCTCACTTTTCCCCCAATACAAAATCCACAGTCAAAACAGCAGATGGTGCTACTGACTTGGCTGAAGTGCACCAAACACATCCTAGACCCTGGAATACCATTGTCTTTTCTCTCACATTCTGTGTCCTCAGAGTGCAAACAAGCAAAGATGGAGAGCAGCTTTTCCCTGCTGCTTTGGATTTAGAATTAACCTACAACTTGAGTTTTCATTGCTGCTTCTCCTGCCAACCTGAGTACTTTAGAAACTGAAAAACGATACAGTATCTTTGCACAGTAAGGTTATCTCTAGCCAGAGGTACTGTTAACTCCATGGTTGCCAAATTGTAGTATTTATAGCCTTGGGGATGCTTGACTTTTTTTTTTTTTTTTTAGTGGAAATGCCAAATCTGTTTCAATGCTTTCCCCCACCCCCTGTTCAGAGAATGCTCAGGCACATTTATGTGTCCTCTGCTCTGCCAATGAACCATACGGGGAGGGTAGAAAAGCACTGGCTAGTTAGCAGCTGACCACTGGCTCTCTCAGCTGGAATACTTAAGGCCAGGGAATGCAACTGCCTCGAGCGCCATTTTTGGTAGAAGGGTGAGGTGCAAGTCAAATTATTGAGTGGCAGCAGTAGAAAAAGGCAGAGAATAATAGTTGGAAGGGAGGTGTGGGGCAGGGCGTGGGATTAAGGCTAGGGGGCCTGTGGCTGCCAGTTGGCGCCATATAAATGTGCATTTGTGCGCGTAGGACTACTAGAGCACATACGTATATATACTTGTTAGATTTATGGTAATAGACTTTTTGAACAATATTGTTCAAAGTTGATGGAAAAAATATCAGAATTATTGCTGTAACCAGTCCCTACTCCCTAAAAGGGCAGGCAAATCATCATATGCAGCCCTGACTACCTGTGGAGCCTACACAACCAAATGCCCTCCAGATATTCTGGACTGCAATGCCCACAAGCTCCGTTCACTGGCCACGCTGGCGGAGGGCCTCAGGGAGCGGAAAGCAGGCATTCTGATGTGCAGCAAGCCACAAAAGGAAAAGGCTTCCTCATCCCCAGGCTGAAATACCAATATTTCTCTGTACATGTATGAACTTTCAAAACTAATGTTATATTCCCGTGTGCTTTTTAGTACTGAAGGTGACTTCTACAATTTACTTTTCAATCTAGATCTGCAGTGCTGCTGTGGAACTTTGCCTCCAGTTCATGCAGCCTATTTTAATTCTGTGCCTCACTTATTCGATATCTCCTATAACAGCAGGTACTGTGTACTAAGACAGTGCTAGGTGACATGGTGCCCACAGGCACCACTGCATCCTCAGAAACCTTTCTTGGCACCCACCAAGATTTTCTGTCTCTCATACATTCTTTTTAAATTCACTCATTTTCTTACCAGCGCCTGGGATTACAGTGAAATAGGTACTGTTGGTGCTGAAAATGGGGTTCCAGGGAGTTTAATGGGTTGGGGCTTGGACTCACTTCTTCCTTTTCTCAGTCTTTTGGGCAGTTCACTTATTCTCACACCATTCATTTTTTGGCAGTGAGTACCAAAGCCTGTTGATTAAATGTGGGTGGAGGAAAGGGGAGGAAAAGGTGCTACTGGGAGATGCTTGAAGCAAGAACACCACATTGATGAACCAGATCCACAATGCAGGAATCAATACCACAAGGCAGTGTTGCATGAAACCATCCCCTTGCGCCTGAACCTGTTTTAAATCTTGCAAAACCATGACAATCCATCCTAAAACCATAATGGGGGAAAGTATTGTGAGGAGAACGACACCATTCTCACCACCTGCTCACGAACCTAAGCCATTCATACAGGGCTGGGATCCACTGCAGGCATGGCTGGGCACCTACCAGAGACCCACGGCCTGGCAGGGGGCCACTGGGCTTGCTCCCCCTTCCCCTGCCTCACCCGGGTAACCTCCTTGTTCACCTCCCTCTTGCTCCAGCCAAGGCAACAGAGGTGAGAAGGAGCAATGCATGCTGCCACCTCCCTGCTTGCTGGCGCTCTGCCTAGTCAAGCAACGGGTAGCAGTGCTGAGAAAGATGCAGATAAACAGCAGGTGGTGGCAACGGTGCTGAAAGGGTGGACCAGGAAGGGAAGGAGAGCCCACGGATAACTTTCTGTTCACAGGCCCTGCCACAGCTTGTCAAATAATAAGCGGCAAATGTTACCACTAATGCACACATACATGATGTCGGCCCTTAACTAGGAGGAAGTGCACTATATGCTTTCAGTTCAGGGACGATTCAGGCATGTTGCTTGCAGCCAAAACCACTTCCATGCAGTGATGCTCCATGTGGAAACGAAGCATTATAAATAATTAACCGCAGAGCTAGTGCTAGTCAAGCGAAACATCTCTGTGGCACTGCCAATAACAACTCCCATGGAGAAAGTGCTCATTTTTAACAGAACTCCCATGGGAACAGGAAAATAAAATGTGAGGCAGCTTTGACTTTTGCTTTGTACTGAGCCCATTAATGAGTTTGAAAGACAAATGACCGTGCCACGCCTCATAATGGCAGAGATAGGGGACCCCCAGCCAGCAGGCCCGTGCAGGTTCCCCCTGGAGCCTGTAAGTTTGGGCTTCTTCCTCCAGCTTCGTAAAGAGCAGAGCTAAGCCACCCCGCATCCTCCCCTGTTTTGCACTGCGACTCTGGCCAGCTGTTCTCCCTCGGGGCGGAACTGAGCAGTACCAGGGGATCCCCCCCCGGCGCACTGTTCACTCCGCTGTAGCACATGCTGCAGATGGGATGCAGTCCTCAACCTGTAGCCCATTTGCTAGGGGTTGATTCACGCTTTCATCTACAGAGGATGACCAGGAATTGAATGTGTATACTGACTCAGTTAAAATAAAACCTTTCACGCTTGATGCTGCTACTGACCAGCTTGAAAAATGATTCTTGGTAGGTGTGACATTACACTGACACATACAAGTCATGGCATGTGGTTGCTCTGATTGTGTTTAAAACGGACCTCTGAACCAGGACGGATAACAAGACCGTATTTGTGGCGCTGGGTTACGGGGCGGTAGTGGCTGGCCCGTTTTCGTGCCCGTCCCGGGCTGGAGTCCCAAGACACTCCGTATTTGCAGGATGTAGGGCGGCGAGGAGAGGGTCTTCGCTTCTCCGCTTAGTCGAGGGACCCTGTCCCTGCTGAGGTGCAGCTGACCCAGTTCGGAGCCGGGGCCCGGGGGTGCACCCCTCCGCCCGCGCTTTGGCCAGCCAATTCCAGGCCCCGCGTCCCTCGCCGGCAAGCGGCTGCCACCGCTCTGCCTCGGCCCCGAGTACACACGCCAGCCGGCGTGCCCGCGTCCGCTCGCACGTGTCCACCGCCATGCACGCCCTTGCACAGCGGCGGGCAGCCCGGCGGAGCGCGCGGCTCCTTTAACGCGGCGCTGCCATCTCCGCCCCTTCCCTTCCTCGGCGGCGGCGGGCGGCGGTGGCGGCACAGCAGCCCCCTCTGTGCGCCAGGCCCGGGAAGGCGAACGGCGGGGGAGCAGCCCCTGCTGCCCGCTGGAGCCGGCGGCCCGGTGGGGCGCGGCCAGTGCATGAGGGCAGCGGGCGGAGGCGCCGGAGAAGAAGAAGGCGGGGGCGGGGGCGGGGGCGGCGGTGCTGGTGAGTCTCTCCCGCCCGACCGCCCGGGCACAGGCAGCCCCTGCCGCCGCCGCCGCCGCTCCTCGCCGGGGCCCGGGAGGCCGAGGCCGCCGCGTCGCGCCCGGGACATGCGGCCTCTCCAGCCGCAGCCATCGCCGAGGAGACGGGGGACATGAGGCTCCGCAATGGCACCTTCCTCACGCTGCTGCTCGGCTGCCTGTGCGCGCTCTTCTCGCTCTCCTGGTACGGGGCCTTCGGCGGGCACAAAGGTAAGCGGGGCTCGCCGGCGCGGGTGGAGCGCGCCCGCCGCCTGGCGCACTGCGCTTGGCCCGGCCGCGGGAGGGCGGCGGCAGCCCCCTCCGGGCGCCCGGATCGGGCCCCGGAGCCCCCCCGGCTCCTGCGCGGGCGGGGCGCGGGCGGAACTTGGGGTTTCAGCGACTCCGTCCGCCTGCTCGGCTGCAGAGCCCCTTCCGAGTGTGCCTGGGGGTTCTGCGCCCTCGACCTGTCATCTCCTCCCTGCATCCTTCGATACTCGGCGCTGCCTCCTCGCCCGGTGTGTTTTCTTCTCCGGCTTACTGCCGTCCGTGTAATTAGAGTTTTGATCCGTTTTTTGGAGGATCTGTTCTGCTGGCACTGAAAGAGCCACTTAGGGAGAGCGGCGATCCACTGTGCTCCTTCGCTGTACAAAGTCGGGATCAGCAACTCCCCACCCCGACGCGCGGTTTCTTTCTTCCGACCCCTTCCCCGTGTCCGTAGCACTGCAGGCAGAGAGTGTAGCAATGGAACAGGTAGTTCCCCGCCACCACCCGCCCCGCGCGCCTTGCTTCTGTGCTTAGCGAAGTCTTTGTGTTAAAATTTACCTTGCAAATCAACTCTACAAGTCTTAGTGTTGCAGGCTTTGCTTCCAAAACTGGGCTTTAGTGGCAACATGCTACCTTCCCCCTGTTGTTCCAGGAGTGCCTGAACTCTGTACCACTCAGAGTGAACAAAAGGCGGAAAATTGAGTTTTCCAGCTTTGCCATGTGCTCCTGTATACTTTCTGTGTGACATCTGATAGCTGCCTGTTGTTTGAGGACACTGGCTTTGCTTCAGGGCCAGGAGTGATGTATGCGTTGGCTTGAAATTATTTGGTGGCCAGATGCTGAGGAGGCCAACAAATGATGCTCCTGGGGGAAGGGTTGTTGCTTTGTGCGTGTGTGTAGTTTTTACAGATACAAAAGATCTTCCCCTTTTCAGTTTATTGCTGGATGACTGCCTTGAACTGTGGTGTTTCTGTGAGTTCTTCTGTCTGCTGCTTTTGCGTATTGTAAATGTGTTTGCATTGTATGTATTAAAGTTGTAATTGTGAGCTTCCCAAAAGCAATGAGAAGAAAACTTGTTCTTATCTTATAGGCTTTGGCAAAGTGATGACTATGGCATGTGAAGGCAGGCAAGTAAAGGGACAGACTATGTTAATCAGGTATTTGGGGATTGTATGGCACACAGAGAACTGAAAAGCGATCAATTAATGTCAGAAAAACACCTACACAGAAATAGCGTAGATGTATTGAAAAGCGGCTTTGATGCTTTTTTCACTGAAAGGTGTGTGCAAAAAAGAAGCTGATAAATCTGGCATTTGGTTTCCCAACATGGAAGTATAAGACATATTTGCCCCACTGTTCATGCATTTCATTTTCTTGCCCTTGGGTCCATCTCGTGCATTACTTTTTCAAGCACAGAAAATAGTCTCCATATAGGAAAATTATGTAGTAATATATGAAGAAGAGTGGTAGTCCCAAAAGTATATCTACTGTAAAGAAAATCAAGAAAGAACATTCATTGCAAAAAATAAGTAACGTTTCTTTACAATCTCAGTGTAGGAACTTACCAGTCACTGCATGCATACGAAAAGAAGAAAATTCAGCCTGGAATGGTTTGAAAGTAGAAGCAGGCAATTCATAAATAAAATCCAGCACTAAAATAGCTTTCCCTTTTCCCACAAGACTTGCTGTGAACTTTGATCCTACAGATATGCAACATAACAGCAGAGCAGAAGATGGCTTGGGTTGATAAAGGGCCTGTGCCAAAGTTTGTATTTGCTATTGCCCGGGTCCCTTATAAAGAAAAACTGAGAATCTCAGGGACAAGCAAGAATAATAAGACAGTGCTAACATTTGTTGCTCTTAGGTGATAAAACTAGATTTTGGGATAATGGGTGAGATATGCCCAGTTCAGGCCCTGTTCACTCTGGACATACTCTGTCTTATTCTGCATCATGTAATGGTGCTGTATTGACGCTGTATCTGGCAGTGGTGGCAGATTGTCGGTGCAAAAGCAATTAACAGCTTTTGCTACTGTGCAATTGTACACCCAGGTTTCCTGAGTTTACAGTGCCACTGTTTTTGTTACACAGTTTTTGATGCCACAGTGGTCCAGCAGTCCTTATCCTGGATCATACACATTAAGTTGGTAGCACAGTACTCACAGGCATAGGTGCTCGTCTTAGGAGAAGCATCAGTTGATTGCCAGGGTGGAAGCTTAACAACAGAGATGCTCAGGAGCAATGGAGATACTATTGCAGTAATGTGCTTTGTGATCCTGCAGGAGTCTCCTACCCTTTGGGGCTGGTGGGTGAAGCCTGTGGGAGTTGTGAGCAAGTGCCATGAGCGCCATCACAAACTGGCTGCCATGGGAGTGCTGCTCTCCAGAAGCCATGTATGCTGGGGTATGGTCAGTCACAAAACACCCGTTTCTTAGAAAGGCAAACAAGTGTGACTTAAAAGGCAAGTAATTTGCACAAGATCCCAAATACATGGCATGTATGCACTGTTTGAACTTCCAAGCACACAGCAACTCCTTTGAATTCACAATTCTTTTTCTCTCCCTCACGCTAACAGCACTTTACTCTTCCCTCCCATCTCACCTCACATTCCCAGCACAAAAGCCCCCTTCGTCCCAGTTGCTTGCTTCCTTCTCCCTTTGAGGATCAGCACCTCCCAGTGTACTAGATCTGTTTCAGGATCACGGTGCCCCTGCTCTCCCATTTACTCACATACTCTGCAGCTAAAGCACACCACCTCCTGCTTTCTCCCGCTTTCCATTCACTTTGCAGACTCCCAGTGCTATGCACAGACTTCTCCATTGCATTTTCAGAATCCCAGCTTCCTCTCCTCCTATATTAGGTCTCCTGGCTGTGTCTGCCCACCTCACTGGGTCCCCTCATCCCACCTTGGTGGGTTACTTTTCCCTTCCCAGTTTCCAGCCAGTGGCATGGAATATGACGCTTCCTTTTTTCCTTCCCTGTTTCTTCTGTTAATAGAAGTATTATGTCCAAATCACAAGAAGTAGTTGTTCTCCCATACTCCTCACTAGTCAGGCCTCATCTGGAGCACTGTGTCCAGTTCTGGGCACCAAGAGTTAAGAAAAATGCGGATAAATTAGGGAGGGTCCAAAGGAGGGCAACAAAAATGCTTTGGGGATAGGAAGCGTTGTCCTGTGAGGAGAGCTTGAGAGAACTGGGCATGTTCAGCCTTGAGAAGGGAAGACTGAGGGGAATCATATCCTCAAAGGCTGTCACAAAGAGGAAGGTCAAGATCTCTTCTTGCTGATACCAGAGTGTAGGATATGGATTAATCAGTCCAAGTTGTGCCAACCCATTTTCAGGCTAGATATCAGGAAAAGTTCCCTCACTGCCAGAGCAATGTGACAGTGGAACCAGCTGCCTAGAGAGGTGGGGGGCTCTCCCACACTAGAGACATGCAAGGTGAAACTGGACTGTCCTCTGGGTGGGATGGTGTAGATTGGTGCCTTGCAACAGCAGGGGGTTGGGCTTGATGGCCTTCATGGCCCCTTCCAACTCTACTATTCTGTGACCCCATGGTTCCCGCTTTGCCTGGGTACCTGGGAGGGCATCTGGTGCCCAGCTGCCTGCCACCTTTCCTTCTAGTGGTATTCCTTCCCAGTGGCATTCTGAGGCATGAGGACCGTGGGCAGCTGGAGGCCAGCATTTCACTTTGTAGTGCTGTTGGCCTCGCATTTTTTAGAAGCAAAAATAAGACACAATTTTAAAAGCCCACAGATATCAGCCGGGCACTTTGTGGGCACAAGGGAGGTATTCATGGGCACTGTATTGCCGGCCCCTGCGATATAGCATAATAAGTGTTCTGTTGTAAGCACTTCTGAGCTTTAGGACTAGGCTGTGACACTATCAGATGTCTCACTTGTGTTTCAGGAGAAACATCTAGTTATCTAATGCCACAGGCCAGGGGGATTTTCCACATCTGGTCACAAGTCCAGTATCTGTTCTCTCATACAGCCATGCAGTTTTTAGCTGATAATGTGCTGCTTTAGCACAGCAAAAATTAAGTACAGCATTGATCAAATCAACTTTTCTGTCAACCTAAATACCAAACTGATCGTGAAATTAATCGTACTTAGTTCAGCCTCCAGCTACCACCTATCTGTCATACTGGAAGAGCAGTAAAATTCCGGCAAAGTTTATAGGGCAAGCTTGCCTCGAGGAAGCTATGATTTCCAAATTAGCAGATGCTCTAGGCTCTTCCCAGCAGCAGAAACGCTAGCTCTTTCAGGACTATTACAAAACTGTTAACTCAAGCATGTGGAGTAAGAGTTTTTTCAGCCTCGTTCATGTGATGATTCCTATGATGATCCAGTATTTTAACAGAGACAGAGAAATTATACAAACTAGCCTAAACATAATATTTGTAATAGATAAACTACCATTACAGTGAGAAGTTGTTAATCATTATGTCCAAACCTGGAAACTCTGGGTTGTTTAACTTCAGTCTTGAAGCTAAAATGCTTTGGCCATAATGGACCCAGTCCTTATTTTCAGATATTGCTAAACTGTGCCAAATCTAACCATTCTTGGTCAGTGGGTTTCTTTTTGCCATTTTAGCCTTCTTTTTACTAGGCTTCTATTAGCTGAGTTGCCCATACTTTGTCACTAAGAAAGCTGGATGGCCAAACTAATTTAGTAGCTAAGAATTACTACTAATATAGTTTATGTTATTTTGGTACCACCATGGAATGCAGGTGTGCTGCATGTTTGATGAGTTGCTCCATTTTAACCTGGTGCAACTTGCCATTCCGTTTTTCAGCTGGGATTCATATGCACAGCTGAATGCCAATGCTGATAAAATACTAATCTGTTATTTCTTTTCTGTATCAATCACATTCTACAATGGGAATAAATCTTAGCAAAAGCCAGTTACAAAATAATTGCTTACAATATGTGGCGCCGTTGGTTATGGAACAGAGTGAAACCATC